AGGGGGGGCTGCCCGGCCGGGACCATGGTGTTTCTCTCCGGAAACGCTTCGGAAGGCTCCAACTGCACCCACCCTCCGGCACCGGTGAACGTATCCAAGGCCATCCTGCTCGGCGTGGTCCTGGGGGGCCTGATCATTTTCGGGGTGCTGGGGAACATCCTGGTGATCCTGTCGGTGGCCTGCCACCGCCACCTGCACTCCGTCACGCACTACTACATCGTCAACCTGGCGGTGGCCGACCTGCTCCTCACCTCCACCGTGCTGCCCTTCTCGGCCATCTTCGAGATCCTGGGCTACTGGGCGTTCGGCCGGGTCTTCTGCAACATCTGGGCGGCGGTGGACGTGCTGTGCTGCACGGCGTCCATCATGGGCCTGTGCATCATCTCCATCGACCGCTACATCGGGGTCAGCTACCCGCTGCGCTACCCGGCCATCGTCACGCAGCGGAGGGGCGTGCGCGCGCTGCTGTGCGTCTGGGCACTGTCGCTGGTCATCTCCATCGGGCCTTTGTTCGGCTGGCGGCAGCCGGCCCCCGACGACGAGACCATCTGCCAGATCAACGAGGAGCCGGGCTACGTGCTCTTCTCGGCACTGGGCTCCTTCTACGTGCCGCTGGCCATCATCCTGGTCATGTACTGCCGCGTCTACGTGGTGGCCAAGCGCGAGAGCCGGGGCCTCAAGTCCGGCCTCAAGACGGAGAAGTCGGACTCGGAGCAGGTGACGCTGCGCATCCACCGCAAAAACGCCCCGACCGCGGGCGGCAGTGGTGGCGGTGGCGGGGCAGGGGGCGGCGCGCCCAGCAGCGCCAAGAACAAGGCGCACTTCTCCGTGAGGCTCCTCAAGTTCTCCCGCGAGAAGAAAGCGGCCAAGACGCTGGGCATCGTGGTGGGCTGCTTCGTGCTCTGCTGGCTGCCCTTCTTCCTGGTGATGCCCATTGGTAAGTCTCCTCGGGAGGGGAGGGGGTCCCGGGGGGCGGGGAGGCACTGGGAAAGGCTTCCCCAGGGGCGGAGTGCATTTCCCTTCTGACTCTTGCACTGTCCCCGACATAGGGTCCTGGGGGCACTGTTTTTCCACGGCAGCCAGCTAGCTGTGGCTTCTACTATGCGGATTAATTGGCCTCTTTAATAGGGATGTCAGCTTCTCTTAATGCTTTCCATTTAAATGCATCTGCCCCTTTGAGCGCTCCTCCTGCTCTAAGTACTGAAGCCCACTGTGGGGTGCCACCGCCACTTTCCTTTGGCTACATTTGAATGGGGGAATATAAATTCCCATGAGCAGCCTGCTTGTTCTGCCTGGAGTTGTTCGTTAGGATGACTTATGAGGCTCCGTGTTCTGTATCTGTATGAATTTTATCTTCGGCATTCACTGTGGAAGGAAAAGAAACATCCCAGGAGCCATTAATAACAACAAAATTTATTTTATGTCCAAACCAATTTAAATCTTAAGTCATCATAATATTTCCTATAAGTTAAATATGTATTTCAGTAGTAAATATTAAAGCAGACACTGATGGCCTCCAAACTCACACTTTGAAAATAATACAATAATGTTGCAAATCTGATTCTTGCATATGCTAAGTGCACTGTTGTCAGAACTAATTCGCTCCTGCTGAGTGTCAGCAAGCCAGTCCTCTTGGAATAGTCATTTGTCTCTGGTAGGCCTTCAGTGGGATGGCAAAATGGTTGTTAGCTATTTTTAGTGTGTGAGCGCAAAGATAGACCCACACATTGGCTATTCACTAACTCTTCCCAAACAAAGTCAAGATAAAAATTCATAAAAATCGATGTCATAATTATAGTTCCTATTTATTTGGAGTGCCAACTATGTTTCAGACAATTTGCCAATCTTTATCTTGCTAGGCCTTTCAACAGCTGTGATCTTGAAATCTCAGGTGGGGGCCAAAGGGACTCTTCAATTCCTAATACAAGAGCTGCCAGCTTTTTTACAATGTGCATTTTTAAATGTAGCTATCTCAGTGTGAATTGGAACAGTATCAAAATTCAGTTACTCCATCAACCTATCCCATTAGTCGCCAGCCCACATATGGCTACCGACTACTGCTTTGCATAGTAAAGATTATTCTTCCTCCTTCATCTTCTGCCATGTCACATTCAGCTGCTGGGGTAACAGTGGCCTTGGCCATCACAGGTCCTTAGCACAGGGACATGGGTCTGGGAGGCTGCGGGTTCCTTGGAGAGATGGGAGAGAATACGTGGTCAAGTGGGAACAGAAAAAATAGACAACTCTGGGAAAGTTTTGCTTAGAGTGGAGCTGGGAAGGGAGACAGGATGTTGCTGGAGCAATCTAGAACATTTTCAAAGGTGAGACAGAAACAGTGGCATGGATGAGAGGCAAGGTTCTGTGACCAAGAGGAAGACAGGACAGGGACTCGGTGACAGGACGTAAGCAAGAAACTGGTGGGGAGAGTCAGGGGTCTCCAGAAAATTTCATGTCTTTGGCAAATTAAAAATCAGAGTGAGGGAAGAGTAGGGTGCGTGGAGTTCGAGGAGCAAAGAGAAGACGTGAAATGTTGACCTTTGAGAGTGGGAGAAGAAACATATTACGAAAAGATAGCAGTCCCCTAGAAGTCCTGGGGTGGGAGGGGGCTTATGGGACTATGGTCGCTCATTTAAGGTCCAGCAGTCCAGACATCTATGTGACACTCTCCCACAAATAAACAGCTGAGGGGGGACATGGCCGAGGATGCATCCTAGGAAACAAGGTGAAGTCACTGGCTTCCTCTAAATCCTAAGGAAGGGGTGTGGCTGAGGGAAGTTGAAAACTCACAGCTAAAGGTGTTTGATCAAGGAGGGCAAAGAACACCGGAACCTGCCAATCCTCAGACCACTTCCCAACAGCAAATGTGTGTGAGACCGTTTCTCCCAGAATATTCCAACAATATAAAAGCTCCAGGTGCAAAGTTAGACAGAGAGGACCTTCCAGAGCCTCACAATCTAGGCAAGCAGACAAACTGTGAATGATTAACACCCGTGAGGGGAGACCAGTGCTCCAGTGCTATTGCTACTGATTCTCGGGAAAACAGCAGATTTTTGTTTTTGTTTTTAAATCTGGAACTCACTACAGAAGCTTCCAGAAGTGTCATGGCCAACTGAGCAAGTTCTTGAAGAATGATAGCACTACTGCTGTTGGGCCATCAGCAGTATTTTATTTGTTTTTCATAACAACCTTAAGTCCATTTTCATGCAAAATGTGACCAAGGAAATAAAGATGATATCATCAATAAAGATGTTATTATACCCACAGGACCTACGCTTTTAAGTCTGGCAAGCGCTGTCTTGGGAGGAAGAGGTTATCAGCCTGAGCTAGGCTGCTGGAGAGCAGAGGGATTGGAAATGAGAGCAGGGCAGGGATGAATGTGGTGTACAGTGCTTTGAGGTAAACCGCCCACCCTGGATAGGAACCAACCACCTTAGTCAGGTTGAGTGGATTCTGGGTTCTTGTTCTAGACTTTGAGAAGATATCCTCTGCCTATCACCATCATTCATCCCTTTTCCCCAGACTTCTCTCATCCTTCTCCCAAGGTGGGGCTGCTGTCTGGATCCACAGGGCAATGGCAGATGGGAATCAGACTTGCAAGTCTCCCGCATTCAAGTCTTTGCATTCGGTTTCGCTCTGGCATCTCAAATGTGTGCTTGAAATTCGGAGCCCCCAAGGCAGAAAGAGGCAGCACGGTTGATGTTCAGGCCAGTCGTTAGGACTGAAGAGTCAATGCTTCCTTCCTTCTCTTCCGTCGTTGGAGGACACCTGCCTGTTCTCTACTCATCCTGAGATCCAATCCAGACACGTCGGGACAGCCAGTGTTTGAGAATGATGTTTATAGAGGACAACTGGAGACAGCAGCCTGGAGGGAGGGACGGAGGGACGGAGGGAGGGAGAAAGGATGTGTTTTTAGAGGGGCTACTTGGGGAAAGTAGAGCTGGCATAGTGTTACTGGGAGGAAGCAATGTGGCAGAGATGAGAGAACTCAGGAAACTTCCCTGGTGCCTCTGCTACGTGCCAGTCAGCTAGCGAGTCACCTGAGATGAGACAGCGGTGCCAATGCCGGTCCTGACAGCCGAAAACCTAAATGCTTAGCAATGCTGACCCAGGAAACATGGCAAAGGAAGCGCTCGCCCATGGGGGCTGTGCTGGAACATGAGCGTGATGTGACATGTCACATGATGAGCGTGATGTGGACATGTCACATGATGAGCGTGAGTCCTCTGGAGGTACCTGAGATAGCCAGGGCTGGGGGCTGCTCCACTCCCTCCCTCCCTCCTCTCTCTCCCTCTCCTTCCTTCCTTCCTTCCTTCCTTTCTTTCTTTCTTTCTTTCTTTCTTTCTTTCTTCCTTCCTTTCTTTCTCTCTTTCTTTCGGTACAGGAGCTTGCTAGGTAGGCACTCTACCACTTGAGTCATTCCCCCTGCCCTGTTTTGCTTTAGCTATTTCTCAAGTAAGGTCTCATGTTTTTCCCAGGACTGGTCTTGGACCAAGACCGTTCTATCTGTGGCCTCCTGTGTAGTTGGGATGACAAGTGTGCACCACCAACATCAGGCTGATTAAGATGGGGAGGGGGAATCTCACTAACATTTTGCCTGAGTGGGCCTTGAACCACAAAATACTCCCACTCTTTGCATCCTAATTAACTGGAATTACAAGCATGAGCTACTGAGCCCAACATCAGATCCCTGATTCTGCCAGCCACTGGTGACTCACGCCTGTCATCCTGGCTACTCAGGAGGCTGAGATCTGAGGATCACAGTTCAAAGCCAGCCCGGACAGGAAAGTCTGTGAGACCTTTATCTCCAATAAACCACCAGAAAACCAGAAGTGGCACTGTGGCTCAAGTGGTAGAGCTGTCACCTTGAGTTGAAGAGCTGAGGGACAGCGCCCAGGCCCAGAGTTCAAGTCCCACGATCGACAAAAAAAAAAAGATCCCTGATTCTCACAGAAAATGCTCACTTCTTAGAGATAACAATGCAAAGATCTTTTTTTAAGACTATAAGATTTAAGATGAGACACTGATTTTTCCGTTATTCTTACATCGCAAACTGTCTCCAAGTAACAGTCTTGAGTCTGAGAGCCAGAAGTAAGTCAGTGCTGGCTTGGCTGGCAGTTGTGGCTGGCTGTCGTTCCTGGTGGCCTCTGGTCCTCCAGTGGCCTACACCAGATTGCTTATAGCACGAAATTTCCCCCAAGGCAGCCATGGCAGAAGAACTGGGCTGGATGACTGCCCTGTGCAGATTCTTAGGGAAGGGAAGGGCGTCCATTTCTTTATGCAGAATCAGCAGGTACATATAGGGACGGGGGGGGGGGTGTTTCATTACCTCTTGCAGAGTGTGTCCAATAACTTTTCTTGTTTTCCCCTTGGTTATGCTGAGAATGCCCCCTGTGCTGGGCTTTCTGCAGTGCAGTCAGTAGAAACAGTGAGGGTCTTTCCCTGTCTGTGTGCTTCCAGCTTCTAAGTGAGACAAACAGTAATCAGATGACCACATTAAACGGTGCCAAACCTCTGCTCAGTGTTGTAAAGTTACCCTCTCTGTACCAGCACAGTTCTGATGGTCCTGAGCAGGCAGGGCTGAAATCTTGGCCCTGCAATGAAGATCTGTAAACTGGATAGGTGCTGAGTGGTTAAAAGGGAAAGGGAGGGTACAGGATGTGCAGAGACTGACGGGCAGTCAGTCTTGCTGCCCAGTAAGATTTTGTAGAGGGCATTTTTAGCTAGAAATGGGTGGAGCTGGAAAGAGAAAGAGTAGACTAAACAAGATTTGATAACCATTCTACAAGTTGTCTTTTTCTGAAAGATGACCAGGAAGCAGAGACGACATGATCAAGTTGATATTCCAAAGTATGAAAAGAAGATTGTGGATAGACAAATTGGAAGGCCTTCCAACGGGACAGAGTGAGCTGCTGGCTGCCAATACGCTCTTGCTAACCT